AGTCACTCGCACTTCAATCCCAAGAAATGTTATCCGCACAAGGATGAAAGTAGACAAGACACCAATATTATTTAGGTAACCCCCACCCCAAAATTGACTTCTATCCAAGACCCTAATAGCAAGGAAAAGCAAGTTAAACCATCCAAAACGTGGAACTAGCACAAGATACTAGCATTTAATGGGAAAATGAAACCTAGCCAAGAGGAGAACTTTCTCAACAATTAAAAGCAATCACAATCCATTATAGAGTGAAACGCATCCAGTAACATAAGTATTTACAAAAGCAGAATCCAACTCCTTGATATATCTACTCAAATGTTTAGAATAAACCAGCCTTGAAGGGAAAAGACAGAACTGCAAATAGCAGTTATGCATGACTAAATTAGCTAAAGAAACAAGTATAGCCATGTTCCTCATCGGAGTTGACCCACCCTGCAAAAAAGAAGAGAACAATTAATTATTTAGATCTAACAAACTAAAAATGTAAAGGAATATGAGGTAATAAAGTTAGAACTTGTTTATTTCGATGAAACACAATGAATTCCCTTGGCCCAAGGGTTTCTGCCTTTCTTAGGCCAATATCTCTATCTCCATTCTGCTTTGGTGCAGCATACTTGTGAAACACAGACTTGCACAAGGTCAAACCCACTAGACCTAGACACTCTTTCTTGCATGTCATGCACGTGAACATGTTTGCCATTTTGTGTTTAATTGATGATTCCTAAAGTTAGACAGACAAAATTACAAATATGAGACCACTAAAATCATAGACATACAATGAAAGAAAATGACAAAAAGCTACTCATTTTCCAATTTAACTATAATAAGGTATTGAATACTAGATTACAAGCAATATTACCTAGCATTAATATGTCAGAAAATTCAAAATTAATGTAAATAACATATTACCACTGATTCACGATAAGCAATTCTTATCATTAGTAACGACAAAAAGCAATATTTTTAACCGGATAAGATGAGAAAGAATAGAAAAAGAAATAAACCCAACTACAGTTGACATAAATAAACAACTGAACGGATAAAATAGAGTTACTTCACCCAAAAGCATTTGCTATTTACATTAATTTTGAATTGCTTTTTGTTATTTACATTAATTTTGAATTGCTTGTTGTTATTTACATTTGTTCACCCAAAAGGAACCCCATATATAGCCAGTGGAAAGGATTGAGGCAATTACTCAACAATGAATTAAGTATAAACCTTCAAACCATATTTTCATTTCAGACATTTTTCTTTTAATAGTGCAACCCTTG